GCCCGGGACCCGGATCAGTGTTTCCACCTCCATCACCGGACACTGATCAATCCGATCAATAAAATGACCAGGGTCCCCGCAACACCAACAGGCCTGGGCCGCCGCTCTAGTGGCGGGAAGCAGGTCATGGAATTGGCGTGAAGAGAGTGGAGGAACGCTTTCTTTGCCGATGCTGTTCTAGGCTCCGGCTGACCCGCTGGAGAATGGCGCGTTTCAGGTCTCTATAGACCAGAAGGTTCTGGACTGGCAGTTGTTGTGCCTCTCCGGGCAGCAGAGGTATGAGCCTCACTGGCCAGTCCATGGGTGCCCACCCACAGGCTTCAGCGGACCTCTCAAACAGGTCAATGAAGGCCTCTGGATCGTCCTGTGGCCCCATGTTGTTGAGAGGCACGTGAGTGGGCAGGGCTGGGGCAGATGGAGTTTCTGTGGCCCTGTGTTCCTGATGCAGATTCACGAGCGATTGGATGACGGCCACAAATTGCGATCCTGAAGGAGACTGCATGACGGTGGCGGCATTCTTCTTCCTTCCAGGGTTTCGACACTAGTGTGATAAGGTTCAAAGGTTGGAAGGAAGAAGACAGGGTCGGCGTGACTGGGACTTGTACAATTTTATTGGTATAACTTCAAAATAACAACAAACAAAAGACGCCCACACAGCGCATTCACCATAGCCTGAAAATATGATAATAAATGCGCTGAAATATGAAGAGATATAGGCCAATGGGGTTTATAAGTAAGCAGACCAGCGACACTAATCCTACAAATGACAACTCTGCAAACCCTTCGACTTCTGATGATGCAGTTCATCTGGATACCACATCTAGCCCAGTTGATCTCCCTCAGCTGTCTCCCAGTCTATCGTCTATTCCTACAACCAGCACAGCCAGAATCCACTGTTCAAGTGAGTGCTGCCGGTATCTTACCAGATCTAATCAATAAATCTAGCTGTACTGAGTCAAACTACAAAGCAAAGACACAGGTGTGGCAGGGGGGCGTGGTTCAGCGAAGTCTGTGACGGGAGAGAGGATCGGGAGACAGGTGCGGCGTGAGTGGGTTAAGTGTGAATGACAAATACCTGTGTCTTATTTCAGTAATTGGCGTGGGGAGACGGATAAAAGCCACGAGGAAACGAGAGAGTGGCTGAGAGAGACCGGTGGAGACTTGTGGGTGAACTGGACTGTGACGGGAGAGAAAGAGAGGAGAGCACCGAGAGCGAGAGACATTGAGTGACAGCTGATTGCCGCGAATTAAGTCTGTTTTGTCCAGCGCGTGTTGCGCGACTTTTGTTTATGTTGAAAGAGTTTTGAATTTGAATAAACACCCACAGTCTCCTCAAGCCGACCCTGTCCTCTTCCTTCCCTTTATCTGAACGTTACATCTGTTACAACAGGGAACCGGCTCCTCAAAAAAAACAAAAAAAGGTTTCAAAGATTTCCCCCGGCTGACCTTATGTGAAACGCAGGGAAAACTTTTCTGCATGCCGTGTCGCTTTTGCGCAATCAATGGACTGGCACTAAATAATAACATTTAACCTGCATTTTCCGTGCAAGGTTTCCATAATTGGAAACATGCTTTAATGTCATTTGGGGAACATACAAAAAGCAAAAATCATAGAGAATGTCTGGCTCAGTTTCAGGTTTTTGTCTCACAGCAACCTAGTGTGGCAGTACAGACTCACGGTTAAAAGCAAAGCAGAAATATGCTAACAAAACAACTAACCTCTCTCAGCTTTCTGATGGGCCAAGACATCACTATAGATGGTCAGGAAAGCGATAACTTTTACAAGTTAATGTCGCTAAGGTCTGATGACTGCTCAGACATTAAACGCTGGCTCAGTGAGAAGAATTACATGTCCCATGACAATCAATGAGATGATGAATATAATTTTACTCGATGTACTACGAACGGTTTTGTCTCCCATTCGTGAAGGCTTTTATGCAATACTCACAGATGAAACTAAAGACATTTCCAACAAAGAACAACTTGTGACTTTGCTTTGCTGAGTGGACGACATACAAAATTCAAGAGGATTTCATAGGACTTTTTGATTTGCCAAAAAACGATGCTCACAAAATTTTCAGAGCAATAAATGACATTTTGATCCGCTGCAATATAATGTGTGATTTGTGCAGAAGACAGGCATACGACGGCGCAGCGAACATGTCCGGTCACTTGGCAGGCGTCCCTGCATGCTTTAAAGAGCACAATCCCACGGCTGTCAATGTGCACTGTTTAGCACATTGCTTGAACTTATGCCTTCAAGATGCTGGGAAAAAATGTAAGCTGATACGAGATTCATTGGATATTGTGCAAGAAGTGACTCAAAAACGAAACCATGCATTCAAAGCATTAACAAATGAAATGAGACCCGACACTTAAAACCTAAGAACCCTCTGTCCAACGCGATGGACTGTGCGCACTGATGCAGTGAAATCAAGCATCGACAACTATTCTGTTCTGGTAACCCTAATGACAGAAATCACAGAAGAATCCCATGATGAATGCGGTAGGAAAGCTGCGGGCATTTTGGTCAACCTACAAAGATTTACCACATATTTCAGTCTGCGTCTTGCTTACATGATTTTCTCTCCAACCGAACAGTTATCCAAGACATTACAAACAACTGACATGACACTAAAGAGGCTTAAAGGTGAACTAAGTAACTTTTTTACCTTAACCGAACAGCTTTGGAGTCATTGTAATATTTATATTACTGATTTCGTGTTGAATGGTGGTCATCTCGCACCCCCCTGCTGCCTGTGAGCCGCAAAACCACCCTTGCAACTTTGGGCCGGCGAGCCGCCGGCCTGAGTGTTAGGAAGTATCGTGTGATATCAGGTCTCGCGAGGTAACGAATTGCTTTACGGCAAAAAAACAGATCTGATAAAATTCTGATAAAATGAGCATCAAACAGAAATAACCCGGCGCCGTATACATGTGGTGTTGGGTGCGCGCAGCTCTTAAAGGGGCCATACCTTATTTCCACTCGTTACAGCGTCCATCCCACTGAACAGGTACCGGTGTACAGGGGGAGGGGATCCGGCCGTGAGTGAGAGCCATCTCTGCGTGAGTGCTATTCACGACAGTACAAGTGCTGTTTGACAAAAACGGAATTCTTACTGAGTGCTGCTTTAAACTGCAGTTGCGATCGCACGAAGTTTTATTCAATGGCAAAGGTCTCATGATGCATTTTCAAGCTTTTTACATCAGTAACATGCCACACATATACAGAGTTCTTGGCAAAAGTGGACATGATTGCCATTGCTGAAGAATTCATCCAGCATAACGAGCTACGCAGACTATTTTTTTGGGAAGTTTGAGGTGTGCTAAGAAATTGTTAGTTTCACAAGTATTGCTTTTGTTGTGATAGATAGATTTGCTGCTATGCATAATGCCATGTGTAGTGGGTTAAAATTAGGCCCACCTTTTCTTTTGATACGTTCCGCGAACCATGTTGGCTACGTTTTATACGTTGCCCAATGTGTCAGCTATCGGCGTAACGTCTCGGGTTACTCAAGAAACCATGAGAGAACGAGACATTGCGTAAGCTGCAGTGTAAAAACCTTCCAAGTGTTTGTTGTATGCTATAGCTCAGTCGAAAGATCGGGGCCTTCCCATGCTTGAGTGCCATTGGCCCAATGTGTCAGCTATCAATGCAATGTCTCATTCGCTCCTCTCAGGGAACCATAGTTATGCGAGTAACCCGAGATGTTTTCGCAGCACTGTCAATAGCACAATGGAAGGAATGCATTGACGTCGCCTTCCTGCTGGAACACACTCTCTCAGCCGGACTGAGTGGCAGAAGCGCTGCTGCGTGACTGGATTTAATATGGGAAACTGCGAAAACACGAGTAAAACGAACGATTATTCGAGGTTGGACTCGATATAGTGTTCCTTACAACTTACCAAAGATTCAGTGATCCATGGATATTGACATGCAGATCACTTATAATTTTCCACAGCTCATGTCGTCTTGAGTTTTGTTTGTCCACTGAAATTTCTTGGAAAGATATTTTTGCAGTGTTTCATCAACAGAATTATCCAAAAACATGTTAAATAACAGTACAACCCACTAAAAAGATGAACTGTATCCATCACAGCCTCGCTCTCATTCCCGTTAAAAATCAAAGATGGTATAAGGTCTGTTGCAGGACTATGTAACTTGGCAAAAAATAATAAAAAAAGTAATAATAAGGAAGCAATATTTAGCTTACCCAATCTTTCCTAAGGCCAAAGACATTTAAAATCTTGAATGAAATTTATCCATCAAATTGCTTTTTACATGAGAGATTTTTTGGGAAAACAATTTATACGGATTTTGTGAGATCCGATAAACGTGTTTTTATCCCATGCGAATTTGTACATGAATTTTGGCTTTCATTTCAGAGTTGGATACAATTCTAAAGATATAACTCTACACCCTTTGAATGTGATCTCAATTAAAGTTGTAGTGTAAAAAAAAGTTGAGTGTTTGTAGATGATAAGAACCTAGAATTTGTGATAATAAACAATCTGATTGTTTTAGGTAAACACTTTATACACAGATGTAAATATTTATAGATTTAACCCCATTTCAACGGATGGAAGAATGATTTGAAGCTATTTGCAAAATCTCTTCAATGTATGGCAGACAGAAATGCCCTGAAACTTCTTTCTGCTGGACTTGTTTATGTTAGAATAAGACTCTCATCCCCTTTGTTTTTTTATTTCTTATTATTTCTTTTAAATGCTGTATCAACACGGAAACATGTTGGAAGTATGCCATAGATGTTAGCTACTTGAGTTCTGTTCAAGAAAACAGGATTTAAAATATATAATGCTATTTAACAATGTGGCCCTCTGCTGGTAGTTTGTAAATGTGTAGCGGCCCCCTATGCTGGTGGTTTGTAAATGTGCAGCGGCGCCCTCTGCTGGTGGTTTGTAAATGTGCAGCGGCGCCCTCTGCTGGTGGTTTGTAATGTGCAGCGGCGCCCTCTGCTGGTGGATTACTCGTGATTAAATCCTCCATGCGGCTCTGCTTGCACTGGCAGTGAAGGGAAGATGGCGGCTGGACCCGGAGCGGCCAGCTCTGGTCACAGCGGTGGCCGCGGTTCGTCTGGCGCGTTAGAGTCATCGCTGGACCGGCGATTTCAAGGAGTCACCAATACGATGGAGTCCATCCAGGGATTGTCCTCGTGGTGCATCGAGAATAAGAAACATCACAGCCTAGTCGTGCGCTGCTGGATGAAGTGGCTGAAGAGATGTGAGTTGCTAATGTTGCTAATGAACGCACACAAGCACAAACACTAACGGGATCTGAATGCAAACCTTGTCCCGATGACAATGCATTTTGTGTTTCGATGCACAGCGTTTGAGAAATGTCAGTTTGATTTGAACGCGCTGGCGTTTCTCGCGTGCACGCTGAGATGAATGTTGATTTTACAGTAAAGCTCAGTGCAGGGTCGCTCTGCAGGCCTGGGCATTTGAAACAGAAAGTTGGACACACTTCAGCCGGTTTTAAGAGACTTTAGAGAAGCATTGTGCATGAACATAATGGTGCAAACTCAATAGAGTTACAGAAGCGTGAGCCCCACGTAGATAAACAAGCGCTGTCAGTGTGGAGTTCAGATAGGCAATCAAGATGTCAGTTTGTTTTGGGTTTGAAATTTGAAGTATTGTGAAGGGAGTGTGAATATCTAGTGACTGGTCGAATCAACTTCCCTTGTATTGAACTCCAAAGCTGACAAAATAATGAATAAATAAATATGCGACGAAATGTTAAATAAATATAGGCCTACAAAGAAATGTAACACAAAATAAATGAGTATTTACATTTTATTTTATTATCTATGTATAGCATAACATGTATATCATTAGTATACAGACAAATAAATGTTGAAATAAATGAAGACAAATATACGTAAATAAATATATGTGGAAAAGGGGACAATCATATATAAATAAGGATATAAAAGTAGTAATACTAAATTTCTTTGTATATGTATTTAGCCTATGTATTATTATTATTATTTTTTTTTTTTACATTTCTTCCTTTCTTTATTTATTATTTTGTCAGCTTAGGATTTCCATACCCTTGCGATTCTACTGTTGGATGCTTGTCATTGACTCATCTGAAGGTTGCAACCTTTTTCAAATAACAAGAGGTCATATTTGATTTAAATCTAGCTATTGTTCACTGTCCTGCAGTCAGTGTTTGCACAGAACTTCAGTTTAAATAATCCTGAAGTTATGTTTAAATTGACCCAGAGCACTCAAAATTTTAGGTTTTTGAAGTGAGATTATGATTTTGTAACGCTTTATAACAAGGTTCCATGCATTATTTACACTAAATTCTGTATTGTGACTTTATGAATGAATATCTTTTTTCACACATTTGTTCATCTTGGTTAATGTTAACTTAAATAAACATACTTTTATCCATTGTTAGATCATGTTAGTTCTTTCTTAATGGTGTTACACCACTTTATTTCAATATAAAATGAATTGGTATATGTAGAAATTAGAGCTCCACCGATAGTTTTTATTTTTTATTTATTTATTTTTTATATATAATGATAGCTATGGTAGCCCACTCTGGCCGATACGTTTTTAAGATGGATACTGAATGAAAACAAACATAACATAAAATGTTGCTGAACTTTATTGCAAAAATTGAAGAACAGTACTGAACCATGAAAATGTACTGTAGGCCTTTTTTTAAATTAAAACATATTATTCTATTAATTATACCTTGATCATTCATGTTAGTTCATAGTGTAGCCTATTAACTAGTATAATGTTAAGAGACAACTTTAAAATGTAAAAAAGTATTATTAAATGTTGAAATTAACAATGAACAATACTTTTGTTAACCTTAGTTAATGTTACAAATGGAGTCTTATTGTAAAGTGTAACCATTTCAAATAAATCCAAACAGTCATGCTTAAAGATGGCCATATTTAAATATTTACATAATGACTATTGCAATTAGACACATGTAGCCTATGTTGTAGTATGTATAGGCCTACTCTCACACTTCATTTGCTTCTATTTTAGAACACTTGATTATCTAATCAAAATAACAAAATATTACAGTGACGATACAAATATCGAATACATTTCTGAATGTTTTACATGTTTCTGTCGGCTGCATGACGATGCAGTTTGCCTTCTCATGACTCTAGCTTTAAATATGCAACTTTGCTGAATAACGATAAAAGCGACTAGCTGGATATAAACTAATGCAAATAGATGGTAACAATCGTGACCGTAAACACTTGGGTCTGACTTGCATGTGTTTTTGTCACATTTTTTTTAACCGCTTGAGGTACTACTAATATTAGCGGCCTTGATGGCAAACCTACTGCTGTTCTTTAATATTGCAGCATCTAGTCAACAAATGTATTAGGCTACTTTGTAATGATATGAAAGCACGTACGGTAGTGTACTTTATAACATAGGCTACCATTTTGTTGTCTAATGTCCACATCTGAAGTGTCCATGCAGTGCCCAGCCTCATGTCAAAACAAACAGCACGAGGCGTCAGTGACAGAATTGTATTTGGCCTCTAGAGGCTGCTCTCGTACTGTATAATTCCAGCAGCCATCTAATATTTCTATGCCATCACTGTCAATAAGTCATTATTGTAGAGGTAACGGAAGTTTTTATGAGCATTGTAATGTTGTTTAAAGCAGATTTTAAATCATGCTGTGGAAATACAAACCGGAAGACGCAACACAACGAGCACAGCGCTGAAAAGGGGCGGGGCTACATGAGGTCTTTACCAAAGTCCCTTTAAGGCTAGTCATTTCACTCGGCGGCCATCTTTGAAATACCTTTCGAGCATCTACTGTATTCCAGTCATTAGGGCTGCACGATTAATCGCAATTTCCATGTAATCGCATTTTGAAATCGCAAAGGCTGCGATTTGTTTTTTATGCGCATAAAAAAAATCGCAAAACGCGTTGCGGTTTCGTTGCAATTAATCATGCAGCCCTACCAGTCATGCAAGTACTGCTCCTATCTTTTTAAATGGGGAAACATCAAATTGATTTTCACTTTTGTTGTCGCATGTTTTCTCATCGAGCTCCCCCTACAGCTGTGCGGCGTATATTTACACAACACTGTCATAAAAAAACTCACTCGCGGCACTTTCCTCCCGCTTTCTACCGCTGCTCATGTGCTTTTGTTATTATCGGAGCCGGCCAACTTTATCGTGTGGAGCTAGGCCTATGTCTACCGAGTGGGTAATACATCATACACCGTTTCATAGAGTTATGTCGAATTGCCTTAAAGCAGTTTGTGTTTCTCGCTCGTTCTCGCTTCTCACGAGACTTCTATTTCCAACTTACCGGGACATTATTCCCCATGTTGCAAGGTTGGTTTTCCGCCTGGGGGGAGTGGGGAAAGTCACCATTCTCTCCAGAACAGGTTATTAAACCATTCAAATGACTTCTAAACGGTTTTATTAAGTTGAAATAGTTGCCAAGTGCCCCTTTAAACTGATTTGGCTTCGTGCCGCGCATAAAAAAAATCGCATCCTTTGTCAAATCGCGTGTGGTTTAATTTCGATTAATTGTGCAGCCCTAATAACCAGCCAATGCACATGCGTAGGGCCCTATGAAATCCATTTTATTTTTTCCCAAATTCCGTTTTTTCCGTTTGAATTTTTGGGAATTCATTTTTTTTTACTGTTATTTTAGTCATAAAGAGAGTGTGCTTTTAAAGTTAATGATTAAAATGTATACAGATAAAATAGGAATGACCTTTAATTACAGACATTTACTCAGTAGCCTTTTCAGGACAAATACTGCATGATGCAACATGACACTGCACTCTTCAAGTAACAACAAAATATGGTTATGAGCTTTAAACTGTTCAGTAAAATAAATAATATTAGTTTAAAGTTTAAATAAGTCACACTCTGTCTCTCTCTCGCCCAGTGTCGCTCGCGGAGTTCGCTTCGCTTTTGTCCAGTCCTGCGCCTCATATGGCGCTTTTCCACTGCATAGTACGGTACGGTTCGGTTCGGTACGGCTCACTTGTGGTGCTTTTCCACTGCATAGTACGGTACGGTTCAGTTCGGTACGGCACGCTTTGGCGCTTTTCCACTGCATAGTACGGTACGGTTCGGTTCGGTACGGCTCACTTGTGGTGCTTTTCCACTGCATAGTACGGTACGGTTCGGTTCGGTACGGCACGCTTTGGCGCTTTTCCACTGCATAGTACGGTACGGTTCGGTTCGGTACGGCACGCTTTGGCGCTTTTCCACTGCATAGTACGGTACGGTTCGGTTCGGTACGGCACGCTTTGGTGCTTTTCCACTGCATAGTACGGTACGGTTCGGTTCGGTACGGCTCACTTGTGGTGCTTTTCCACTGCATGGTCCGGTACGGTACGGCTCGCTTCGGCTCGCTTTAAATGGTACCTGGTCTGTTGAGGTTCCAAGCGTACCGTACCGGTACTAAAATGTGACGTAAAAACACTGCAGATCACTGATTGGTCAGACAGAATCGTCACTACCAGCGTCATTGGACACTAAACCCGCTAGATTTAAATAACCAGTAGACAACAGCCAACGCGGTAGCATCTGTTTTTTAAACTTTAAAAAGAAATGGCTGAATCGTGGTCAGTGGACGAGGTGCAGACGTTCCTCTCGTTGGTTGCCGAGGAGCGGATCCAGCGAGAGCTGGATGGGGCAAAACGGAATGAAAAAGTGTTCCAAGAAGTAGCTCAGCTCTTAGCCGCACACGGCTATCACCGGACCTACAAGTGTAGGGACAAAATAACGATCAGTCCCACCCACTTTGAAAAGGTACTAACTGCGGTGGAAAAGCAACCGAGCTAAAGCGAACCGAACCGTGCCGTACCGAGTCGAGTCGTACCACGCAGTGGAAAAGCGAAGCGAGCCGAACCGTTCCGCGCCGAGTCGAACCGTACCGAGCCGAACCGAGCCGTACCAGCAGTGGAAAAGCGCCAATAGACAGACGTGGTGTGTATGTGAGAGAGACGCGTGAGTGATAGAGAGACGGAGGGAGAGCGGGAAAAGGAAATACAACGGAAAGAATACGCTGCGTGTTTTAAATAGCGTTAAAAAAATGAACGAAACGCAATATGTGGCGGCCGGAGTTGATTTTGTGGCCGCGAATTAGTCTATGTGTGGGAAAGACTGCATAAAAGTCACGTGCGAACTGCTCGGCTCGGTAATGAGGGCTTATAGCGTTGAGTTTCTTAACTTTTTCGCCGAGGAAAGCAGAGCCGTGG